CAGGTGACAGGCCCAGGCTGATAGTGGTCAAGTTCCTGAGGTTCAAGGACAAGGTAGCTGTTCTGGAAAGAGCCAAGAACTTGAGAGGAACGTATATCTTTCTCAACAACGACTATCCTGAAGCTGTGCGTCAGAAGAGGAAAGAACTTATCCCAGTCATGAAAGCTGCCAGAGCGCGTGGGGACATTCCTTACATCCGCTATGACAGGCTCATTGTCCACCCTCCCTCCCAGAAACCTGGAAGGGATGAGAGAGCCAAGCCTATGGGTTCGTAGCTTCAACCCTGCAGCACACACACACACACACACACACACACACCAATTGATTAATGGACTGCTGAATGTATTTTTTTTTTATCTTGCTTTGTTTGCTCATTCCAGTATTATGTCTATCTCTGATAAGCTACCCAGGAAAGGGCTGAAAATAGCCCATATTAATATATGTAGCCTTAGAAATAAGGTTCATGAAATCAATAACTTGCTAACATCAGATAACATTCATATAATAGCCATTTCTGAGACTGACTTATGACATTTATTTGATGATACAGCAGTAGCAATACAAGACTATAACATCTATAGAAGAGACAGAAATGCTTATGGGGGAGATGTTGCTGTATATATTCAGAGCCATATCCATGTAATGCTTAGAGAAGATCTTATGTCAAGTGTTATTGAAGTGTTGTGGTTGCAGGTTCACTTGCCACATCTATAGCCTTTTGTTTTGGGATGTTGCTATAGGCCACCAAGTGCGAACAGTCAGTATTTAAATAATATGTGTGAAATGCTTGATAGTGTATGTGATGTAAACAGAGAGGTCTACTTTCTTCGGAACCTGAATATTGACAGATTTTCATCAAGCTGTCCGCTCAAGAGGAAGCTTCTTACTGTAACCAGTGCCTGTAATCTGGTTCAGGTTATTAATCAACCTACCAGGGTGTTTACAAACACTACAGGAACAAGATCATCCACATGTATCGATCACATTTTGACTAATACTGTAGAACTTTGTTCTAAAGCTGTATCCGTACTCATTGGATGCAGTGATCACAATATAGTGCCTATATCCAGGAAAGCCAAAGTTCCAACAGCTGGGCCTAAAATAGTGTATAAGAGATCATACAAAAGATTTTGCTGTGACTCATATGTGGATGATGTAAACAATATTTGTTGGTCTGATGTGATTAATAAGGAGCATCCAGATGCTGCACTTGATTAATTTATGAAATTGTTTCTTCCAATTATTGATAAACATGCACCTGTTAGGAAACTGACTGTTAGAACTGTTAAGGCTCCATGGATTGATGAGGAATCGAAAAACTGTATGGATGAAAGAGATGGGGCAAAAGGAGTGGCTAATAAGTCTGGCTACACATCTGACTGGCTGACTTACTGCAAATTGAGAAATTATGTGACTACTCAACAAAAAGAAGAAGAAACTGTATTATGAAGCCAAGATCAATGATATAAAACTTTGGAGTACTTTAAATGAAATTATGGGTAGAAAGACACATTCAACTCCATCTTTCATCGAATCAGATGGCTTATTCATCACAAAACCATTTGATGTTGCCAATTATTTGAATGATTACTTCATTGGCAAAGTGGGCAAACTTAGGCAGGAAATGCCAACAATGAACAGTGAAGGGAGTAGTACACAGCGTTGTATGAGATCTTTCTTGGCAATTTCTCGCATGGAATAGCCTTAATTTCTCAGAACAAGAATAGACTGACGAGTTTCAGAAGAAAGTTATTTGTTTCTGGCCATTTTGAGCCTGTAATCGAACCCACAATTGCTGATGCTCCAGATACTCAACTAGTCTCAAGAAGGCCAGTTTTATTGCTTTAATCAGCACAAGTTTTCAGCTGTGCTAACATAATTGCAAAATGGTTTTCTAATGATCAATTAGCCTTTTTAAATGATAAACTTGGATTAGCAAACACAACGTGCCATTGGAACACAGGACTGATGGTTGCTGATAATGGACCTCTGTATGCTTATTTAGATATTCCATAAAAAATCAGCAATTTCCAGCTACAATAGCCATTTACAACATTAACAATGTCTACACTGTATTTCTGATCAATTTGATGTTATTTTAATGGACAAAAAAATTGCTTTTCTTTCGAAAACAAGGACATTTCTAAGTGACCCCAAACTTTTGAATGGTAGTGTATGTGTTATGGCTTTTCAACCTCTGCCATATCATGGATTCTATTAGCTATCTATCTAATAGAACTCAAAGAGTTTTCTTTAATGGAAGCTTCTCTAATGTCAAACATGTAAAGTGTGGTGTACCACAGGGCAGCTCGCTAGGCCCTCTACTCTTTTCTATTTTTACCAATGACCTGCCACTGGCATTAAACAAATCATGTGTGTCCATGTATGCTGATGATTCAACCATATACGCATCAGCAACCACAGCTACTGAAGTCACCGAAACCCTTAACAAAGAGTTGCAGTCTGTTTTGGAATGGGTGACCACTAATAAACTGGTCCTGAACATCTCTAAAACTAAGAGCATTGTATTTGGTACAAATCATTCCCTAAGTTCTAGACCTCAGCTAAATCTGGTAATGAATGGTGTGGCTGTTGAACAAGTTGAGGAGACTAAATTACTTGGCGTTACCTTAGATTGTAAACTATCATGGTCAAAACATATAGATTAAATGGTTGTAAAGATGGGGAGAGGTCTGTCCGTAATAAAGAGATGCTCTGCTTTTTTGACACCACACTCCAAAAAGCAAGTTCTTCAGGCTCTAGTTTTGTCTAATCTTGATTATTGTCCAGTTGTGTGGCCCAGTGCTGCAAGGAAAGACCTAGTTAAGCTGCAGCTGGCCCAAAACAGAGCGGCACTTCTTGCTCTTCATTGTAATCAGAGGGCTGATATAAATACTATGCATGCCAGTCTCTCTTGGCTAAGCGTTGAGGACAGACTGACTGTATCACTTCTTATTTTTATAAGAAACATTAATGTGTTGAAAATCCCAAATTGTTTGCATAATCAACTTACACACAGCTCTGACACACACATTTACTCCACCAGACATGCCACCAGGGGTTCTTTTCACAGTCCCCAAATCCAGAACAAATTCAAGAACGCGTACAGTATTATATAGAGCCATTATTGTATGTTACTCATATTGCTCAAATAAACAGCAAACCTGGTTTTAAAAAACAGATAAAGCAACACCTCACGGCACAACGCCTCTCCCCTATTTGACCTAGATAGTTTGTGTGTATGTATTGATATGTAGGCTACGTGTGCCTTTAAAAAAATGTATGTAGTTCTGTCCTTGAGCTGTTCTTGTCTATTAATGCTCTGTATTATGTCATGTTTCATGTTTTGTGTGGACCCCAGGAAGAGAAGCTGCTGCTTTTGCAACAGCTAATGGGGATCCTAATAAAATACCAAATACCAAATACTGTCACCACACTCCCTGACAACCTCCCTAAATTCAGTTTTTACCATTCTCCATGTCTGTTTTGAGTCTGTTTTTTTTACTCTGCAGTTGACACCTGCTTTACTACTTAACTTCTGTTTGTTTCTACAGCTGGAGTCTAGCTGATGTAACACTTGACAAGCCTTCCAGGCAGCCTGGGATGTGTATGTCTCCTTTTGTTTTCCAGATAGCATTTTCTCTGCTTTAATATACACTGAGTGTACAAACCATTATGAACACCTGCTCTTTCCATTATATAGACTGACCAGGTAAATCCAGGTGAAAGCTATGATCCCTTATTGATGTCACTAATTAAATCCACTTCAATCATTGTAGATGAAGGGGAGGAGACAGGTTAAAGAATAATTTTAAGCCTTGAGACAATTGAGACATGGATTGTGTATGTGTGTCATTCAGAGGGTGAATGGGCAAGACAAAAGATTTAAGTGCCTTTGAACGGGATATGGTAGTAGGTGCCAGGTGCTCCGGTTTGAGTGTTTCAAAAACTGCAACGCTGCTGGGTTTTTCACACTCAACAGTTTCCCGTGTGAATCAAAAATGGTCCACCACCCAAAGGACATCCAGCCAACTTGACACAACTGTGGAAAGCAATGGACTCAACATGGGCCAGCATCCCTGTGGAACGATTTCGTCACTGTGTAGAGTCCATGCCCCAACGAATTGAGGCTGTTCTGAGGACAAAAGGGGGTGCATCTCAATATTAGGAAGATGTTCCTAATGTTTTGTACACTTAGTGTGGCGTTAGGCTAAAATGTCACATGTTGTTTTGACTCCCTCCACTCTGCAGACATTATGTGTATGTATTTGTAGGTAGGTGTGTCTTATCTTAACTTTTCAGTTGCCAACCCTGCCCCATTTACACATTACACCTTCACAGACTCGGCTAACATTGGATTGTGTTACTCCTGTGTTTTATGTTTTTTAACAGCACTAATGTCCTACATTTTAGGACCAAAGGCAATAGGAGTGGAGAGCACGTATTGAACTAATGTATGTTTGCATTGTGCCAAATCATTTCTCCTGGAAAAGACTATACCTGATTTTGTGTTTGTGCTTTGGAGTTGAATAAGTAAAAACAAATGGTAAAGAAAATTATAAAGAGCTGTTTGGCTGTTACTAAAGGTTGTCTATTTAAGTGCATTTGTTATCGACAAACATTGTTTGAGAGAGAGAAGTTGGGAGAGGGGGGTGAGAAAGAGAGAGCGAGACAGAGAGTGTGAGAGGGAGGGAGAAAGAGAGTGAGACAGAAAGAGAAATATAGTTGACGCCAACGCCAAACCTTTTCCAGAGCTCTTGTTTGCTCTCATGATAGCATGATTACAGTAGAGGGGCACCTTTAGCTTTACCTGAGGTAGTGGAGACATCTGAGATTAGAGAGTAGAGCCGTGGCTGGAGTCTAGGAGGACGTGACCTCATATTCCAGGAGGACGTGACCTCATATTCCAGAAGGAACTGACCTCATACTCATGTCTTATTTATAGAGTGACACACTCAGATAAGTAGTTATAAATGGTTAATTATGAGTTTATAAAGAATATGGTAAAGTATTGGTCTGCCTTTCTGCCCTGCACACCGCTGGGACCCAGGAAATCATTCTATTCATCCATTACTTTCTTCCTTGCCCTAATCTTTTCATCCTCTCTCAGCCTCTCTCATTGTTTTGTGTCTTGTTTCTCTGTCCTGAAGGGAGTGAAGAAGCCTTTCACTGAGGTTATCAAGGCCAACATCGGTGACGCCCATGCCATGGGCCAGCAGCCAATCACCTTCTTCCGCCAGGTCTGCTTTTATTCCCTAAGTTCCAAACCATTTATCTAAAACCTCAGTTCTCTTTTTGATTACAGGATGTCTTTCATTCTCCTTTATCATTTGAAACCCTTCTGTCTATGGCAAAACCCCATTGTGACCTTTTCATGCAGATTCATGTGGTGTTTCATGCAGATTTGTGTACATAATTCTGCATCAACTCCTGTCTGTTCCTCACTTAACTCTCTGTCCTCTCTTCCTCCTCAAGGTCTTGGCACTCTGCTCCTACCCGGAACTATTGAATGAAAACATGTTTCCAGAGGATGCCAAAAACAGAGCACGCCGCATTCTGCAGGCTTGTGGAGGGAGTAGTGTGGGTATGTTGTTAATTTACTTGATGGATTGTGTATTGGAAGGATGTAAGTTAAGATAGAAGGATTTTTGGGCCAATAGGCCGTGGTAACCTTTTGGTGACCGCATAACCAATGAATTGACCTCCAACTCCGGTCCTGGAGCGCTGTAGTGTATTGAGTTCTCTCTCTCTCTCTCTCTCTCTCTCTCTCTCTCTCTCGCTCTCTCGCTCTCTCGCTCTCTCCCTCTCTCTCTCTCAGGTGCATACAGTGCCAGCCAGGGAATAGACTGCGTGCGGCAGGACGTGGCTCGCTACATCGAGCGTCGGGACATGGGCGTACCCTGTGACCCAGACAATGTCTACCTCACCACCGGCGCAAGCGACGGCATTGTAGTAAGAACTTTGTATTTTTCAAGTATTGTATTTTTCAAGTAACACTGCAGATAAAGAGGAAGGCGGATGGAGAGCGTTGAGGATTATAGACTTGAGATGCACCCATCAGTCAGTCTATCACCCAGCAACGTTATCACCTATTATTCTTGATTGATTGATTGAATGACCTATCATTTGCTCATCCACTCACTCCCTTCTCCTCTCCCCTGTCTCTCCCAGACCATGCTGAAGCTGTTGGTGTGTGGTGAGGGTGCGTCGAGGACAGGGGTGATGATCTCCATCCCTCAGTACCCTCTGTACTCAGCTGCCCTGGCTGAGCTGGGTGCTGTGCAGGTCAACTACTACCTGAACGAGGAGAAGTGCTGGAGCATGGACCTCAGTGAGCTAGAGCGCTCCCTAGCGGAGGCCAGGAAGCACTGCAACCCCAAAGCCCTCTGCATCATCAACCCTGGTAACCCCACTGGTAAGTAAACAAGCTAACGGGGGCTGAACTTCCCGATTTAGCCTTGGTTTCAATTCTCCTCATTAGGAAATGCGACTGAGAACGAGATTTGGGTCTTGGAGGCGTGCTTTGATGTGGGTTTCTCTCTTGTGTGTGTTCGACCGTTGGAAGTGTTTGTATTTTCACTCTGCCAAAACAGTACACAGTTACAGTCACTCACCCTTCTAGATAACTTGAAACTGTCTAACCAGTTATTTATTTTCCCACGGGGGGCCAGTATGAAAAATGTATGCACTCACTAACTGTAAGTCGCTCTGGATAAGAGTGTCTGCTAAATGACTAAAATGTAAATGTAAAATGTCTGGAAGTAGCCTAGACTAGCTAACAAGCTAGCGAACTTCTTTCGCCAATTAACTTCAGCCGGTGTTGTGCGACCATGGCAAAGTTGGTTTGACTTTGGACAGCCTATCTTTGGGGCTAGTTAGGGACCGTCAATATATTACACAATGTAAATGGGACAATATTTCCATGTTGCACATCTTTTAGTTGTCTCATTAAATTAATTCAGTATTTGTTTATGCATTTCTACAATTTATAGTTGGTTTGAGGTTTTAAGTCATTGAAATTGAGAGCTATTGGCATTTAAAAATATTGGCCCATGTACATTGTGTAATTTACTGATTGTCCCTAACTAGCCCCATAGGGATATGGAATGTCAAACCAAATTGACCATGGGCATTATGATCGGGTCTCGTGCAACTGCGCTCCGAATTGATGATTACTTGGGTGCTGCCAGCTGTGGGCATGTGGGCATGATTTAAAAATCCAACCCAAGGAAAACTGTTACGGTACCCTTCATTCTGTGACATCCCATTTATTCCTAATTATCTCGCAAATATCCGTTTTCCTCCCAGTCATGGCACTAGATGGCGCAAGAGGACATAGATCCCACTTTGACAGAAACGAAAATGTCAAGTTCTGCTCATATGAGCCTTTCCCTCTCCTCTTCTGTGATAGGTCAGGTCCAGAGCAGACAGTGTATTGAGGACGTGATCCGATTCGCTGCCAAAGAGCGACTCTTCCTGATGGCTGATGAGGTTAACCAATCAGACCTTTTTGTCATCCTCCACATAAACATAATTTCACCTCTACATTATTCTCTTACCCCCTGACATCCCTCTCTCTCTGTCCCTCTCCTCCAGGTGTACCAGGATAATGTGTATGCGGAGGGTTGCCAATTCCATTCCTTTAAGAAGGTGCTATTTGAGTTGGGACCAGAGTACTCTGACACTGTAGAACTGGCATCATTCCACTCCACCTCCAAGTGCTACATGGGAGAGTAAGATCATTCTCATTAATTTAACATACCCTGAAATATCAACCATTATATGACCTTACTTCTTCAACCAATATATAAATAGCTAGACCTGTAGATATGGTGCAGTTCTGTCTTGCCCCTGTACCTGGTTTCTCTCTCTCTTCCTCTCTCTGCTAGGTGTGGTTTCCGTGGGGGTTATATGGAGGTGATTAACATGGACCCAGAGGTGCAGGCCCAGCTCTCGAAGCTGGTGTCGGTCAGACTGTGTCCCCCCGTCCCTGGTCAGGCTCTGATGGACCTCGTTGTCAACCCTCCCCAGCCTGGAGAACCTTCCCACACCACCTTCATGAAGGTAATAATATTGTCAGTAAGCAGACATTTTCTATCCAAAATGACTTACCGGACTGTCAACATTGACAGTGACACACATTCAATATACACTGAGTATACAAAACATTAAGGACACCTGCTCTTTCCATGACATAGACTGACCAGGTGAACCCAGGTGAAAGCTATGATCCCTTATTGATGTCACTTGTTAAATCCACTTCAATCAGTGTAGATGAAGGGGAGGAGACAGGTTAAAGAAGGATTTTTAAGCCTTGAGACAATTGAGACATGGATTGTGTATGTGTGCCATTCACAGGGTGAATGGGCAAGACAAAATATTTCAGTGCCTTTGAACGGTATTATAGTAGGTGTCAGGTGTACCGGTTTGTGTCAAGAACTGCAAAGATGCTGGGTTTTTCACGCTTTTCCCGTGTGTCAAGAATGGTCCACCACCCAAAGGGCATCCAGCCAACTTGACACAACTGTGGGAAGCATTGGAGTCAACATGGGCCAGCCTCCCTGTGTAATGCTTTCAACACCTTGTAGAGTCCATGCCCCGATGAATTGAGGCTGTTCTGAGGGCAAAAGGGGAGGTGCAACTCAATATTAGGAAGGTGTTCCTAATGTGTGGTGTACTCTGTGTATGTGGCCCATATGGAAATCACACACACACTCACACACAACACACACACACACACACACACACACACTCCCACCCTCTTCTCCATGTCCAGGAGCGCACAGCCACCCTCAGTCTCCTGGCAGAGAAGGCTAAGCTGACAGAGCAGATTCTGAACACAGTACCTGGGATCACCTGTAACCCTGTTCAGGGAGCCATGTACTCATTCCCTAACATCAGCCTGCCAGAGAAATCCATCAATGAAGCTAAGGTCAGTCAATACCACAATAATTTACCATGGTCCTTTTTGTGGGATGAGCCCTGTATACACATCAATAAACAACAATTACACTATACATACAGTGTATTCGGAAAGTATTCAACACCCCTTCACTTTTTCCACATTTTGTTACGTTACAGTCTTATTCTAGTCTTATTAAAAAAAAATCCCTTTTCAATCTACACACAATACCCCATAATGACAAAGCGAAAACAGGTTTTTAGAATTTATTTACATAAGTATTCAGACCCTTTGCTATGAGACTCGAAATTGAGCTCAGGTGCATCCTGTTTCCATTGATCATCCTTGAGATGTTTCTACAACTTGATTGGAGTCCACCTGTGGTAAATTCAATTGATTGGACATTATTTGGAAAGGCACACACCTGTCTATGTCAGAGCAAAAACCAAGCCATGAGGTCGAAGGAATTGTCCGTAGAGCTACGAGACAGGATTGTGTCGAGGCACATATCTGGGGAAGTGTACCAAAAAATGTCTGCTGCATTGAAGGTCCCCAAGAACACAGTGGCCTCCGTCATTCTTAAATGGAAGAAGTTTAGTACAACCAAGACCCTTCCTAGAGCTGGCCGCCCAGCCAAACTGAGCAATCGGGGAGAAGGGCCTTGGTCAGGGAGGTGACCAAGAACCCGATGGTCACTCTGACAAAGCTCCAGAGTTCCTCTGTGGAAATGGGAGAACCTTCCAGAAGGACAACCATCTCTGTAGTACTCCACCAATCAGGCCTTTATGGTAGATTGGCCAGACGGAAGCCACTCCTCAGTAAAAGGCACATGAAAGCCTGTTTGGAGTTTGCCAAAAGGCACCTAAAGACTCTCAGACCATGAGGAACAAGATTTTCTGCTCTGATGAAACCAAGATTGAACTCTATGTCCTGAATGCCAAGTGTCACATCTGGAGGAAACGTGGCACCATCCCTATGGTGGTGGCAGCATCATGCTGTGGGAATGTTTTTCAGCAGCAGGGACTGGGAGACTAGTCAGGATCGTGTGAAAGATGGACAGAGCAAAGTACAGAGAGATCCCTGATGAAAACCTGCTCCAGAGTGCTCAGGACCTCAGACTGGGGCGAAGGTTCACCTCCCAACAGGACAACGACCCTAAGCAAACAGCCAAGACAACGCAGGAGTGGCTTCGGGAAAGGTCTCTGAATGTCCTTGAGTGGCCCAGCCAGAGCCCGGACTTGAACCTGATCGAACATCTCTGGAGAGACCTGAAAATAGCTGTGCAGCGACGCTCCCCATCCAACCAGACAGAGCTTGAGAGGATCTGCAGAGAAGAATGAGAGAAACTCCCCAAATACAGGTTTGCCAAGCTTGTAGCGTCATACCAAAGAAGACTCAAGGCTGTAATCGCTTCAACAAAGTACTGAGTAAAGGGTCTGAATACTTATGTAAATGTGATATTTCAGTTTCTAAAAAATTCAAAAAACCTGTTTTTGCTTTGTCATTATGGGATATTGTCTGTAGATTGTTGAGGGAAAAAACTATTTAATCCATTTTAGAATAAGTCTGTAACATAACAAAATGTGGAAAAAGTCAAGGGGTCTGAATACTTTCCGAATGCACTGTACAACATTTAAGTTGATATATTTGATTGTGAGATGTGTTTCCTGTGTACAGTACTGTAATACCTCTCTCCCTCTCTCTCTCCCTCTCACTATCCCCCCCCCCACAGGCACTTGGCCAGGCTCCAGACATGTTCTACTGTATGAAGCTGTTGGAGGAGACTGGCATCTGTCTGGTCCCAGGGAGTGGCTTCGGACAGAAGGACGGCACCTACCACTTCAGGTCTGGACAACCCAGTTTACTCAAACATGTTATCGCAACGTTTCACATCCTTAGATGGGCATAATTTCCCTTTTTGCTATACCTAACAAGGTGGAAATGTATGCAACAGAAGAAGAGTATATGGCCTTTCATTTCCAATGCACTGCATTTCATTCAAAGTTCAAGATATGTAACAGTTTACCAAGGTGTGGAGTATATGATTTATTTTACAGCTTTTTGACGATGTTCTCTCCCTTTACTTCTTCACTCTCTCCCTTCCTCCTTCCCTCGTTCCAGGATGACCATTCTGCCGCCCACAGACAAGCTAAAGATCTTACTGGCTAAAGTAAAGGAGTTCCATCAGAAATTCACTCAGCAGTACTCTTAACCATCCTCCTTAACTTCCTATCTTTCACCCAATCAGAAGAGAATAGCACACTGACCACTATGCGCACCGTCTACCAGCCAACCTATCAGAATTCATCTGTCACTAAGTGCCTACTGTGCTAGTGGCTCTGTCGCCGGTCGCCTTGATCATGCACTTTAGCCCCTTAGCCTACAAGATTCCAAGAAATTGTGGACTCCGACTGTACATGTAAAACTGTAGTGATTATGAACACCCGGGATATTGGGAGATGTAGTTTTTCGAAATCAGAATAAGAGCTGTAGTTTTTTATTTTGGGACATATCAAATTCAGCTTTATCTGACATACTTGATCATTTTTTATTCATTGTCATCTCAGTTGTGTGTTTGTGCGCGTGCGTGTGTGTGTCATGATCACACAAGTTAAGGCCAGCATGATGGTACAGTAATGTTGTACTGTATGAAGAAACTGAAAGCACTAGTACATTATTTCCAAACTCTGTAGAAATTATTTTGTCAGTATTGTAGACAAAGGCACAGGAAATTATTATATAATAGAAAAACTTTCACAATGATTTTTATATGAAGATGATTTTATTGTATTAAAAATCTCTATCATATAGTCTTTTATATTCATAGTTTCAGTTTGGCCATTTTTTGTGTGGACATTTTCACCATCGTACATTCTTTATAGCAAACTAATGGGAAAACCTGAACATAGAAAAGACAGCAGGAGAAGAATTTAGAATAGCAGGAGTATGAAATTCAAGGTTATTAAAGTGAGCAACGCTGTCAGGGATTTTCAGAATTATGAAGACAAAAGCCGTGCATTACAATTATCATGGGGGTGAGTGAGGAGCTTACTGGACACACACACACACACACACACACTCCCCTGGGAGAGGCTGTCTGTCCACTTGTCTGTCCCCTGCGGAGTCTGTCAGATCTAGAGGATAAAACACTACCTGCACACAATCACATTACACAGTACACAACAACCACCGTACAATAAACCAGCCAGCACCACATTACAACTATACATCCAACCATACATCCAACCCCTCCTTCCAGCCGTACAGACAGCCCCCCTGAGCCCCTATACCTACAGAGAGGAGAGCATGTCCAACTAACCAATCTCACTGGTCATTTACTTTAGTGGCTTGATGTTAAACCTCATGATACTAACTGTAAGTCGCTCTGGATAAGAGCGTCTGCTAAATGACTCAAATGTAAATGTAAATGTAAATGAGAGGGAGCCCTTACATCTCCCCACACAGCCCTTACAATCTCCCCTCACAGCCCTTACATCTCCTCTCACAGCTGGACACGGCCAGTTGGCGACAAGCCCCCTGTTCTCACTAATTTAAATGGGTGCTGATGTAGAAAAGTTTATTTGTCCTCAGTAAATCCAGTATTCTTCCTGTACACCAAGTCAGAACTGTAAGATAAATAAAGGGGGCATATAAGCAGACAATGAAAGCTCTTACAATATTTGATGATTACATTTCTCTAAAACAGGCTATAGGCTACATGTGCACCACCAAGTTAGAACAGTAGGCGAAATTAGGAGGGGAAACGGGACTAGATTATTAGGGTGAGGCACATGGGCTACTAACATCTTACTAAACAACATACACTTAGTATTCTTAGCTACAGTATACATATCTCCCTGGCATATTACATCATTTATGCAGCACGTACAATATATTTTTGGACTCACCTTGTTGTGCTGTGCTCACTTGAACAGGAAGGTGGCGTGGTGGTCCTTCGTGGGCAAATTTAGTCATCAAACTTTGTCATCAAAGTCTGGCATTCTCTGGGTTTATGGTGCTTTCAAGACAACTGGGAACTCTGTAAAAAACAAGGTCGAATCATGATGACATCAGTGATCTTCAGGTCAGAGCTCTAGAAAGAGGCCAGAGTTCCCGACTTGCAATTCTGAGTTGGAAGACTGTTCAAAACTTATTTTCCCAGTCTGAGCCTGTTTTTGTCCGAGTTCCCAGTTGTCTTGAACTCACTAAAATCAGATTTCCCAGTTCTGAGTTTACAGTTGTTTTGAGCTTGGCAGAAGTCATGCTGGATTGACAGCATGGCCAATGTTGAATGTTTATTATTTTAAGCTTGGAAAAGAGACCCTTAAACCCAGACTTGGGACCACACACCCTCTCCACTGAATAGCAGGCTAGTGATTGCTTTGCAATGCTTGCAGTTAGCCACTGATTCCCTCCAAACCACTCATTGATGAATTTGTGATTTTCAACTTGTTGTGTAATGTTTATGTCCAATGGCCGATGAGCACCAATGCATTTTATCTCTAATTTCTCTTCATTATTTATCTTCATATGACAAGGATTAAAAAATATTTGCCAGTAGATTGTCGACTTGATTCATGACAATGGCTGCTAGCTTGCTAGCTAAGATTTTGAAAGTATGATGTTGACATGATCAGTCCAATCAAAGCTGCTGTAGATATAATGTGATTTGACGTCATTTTATCTGTGGCCAATGCCCTTGAGCCTTCTTGGACGGGCACTTCTCATGTAACTCTATGGCAGCACCCAAGGGGCTGCACCACCACCACAGAAAGCTCTGAGCTAGGCTGAAACACTTGCATTTTGGAGCTGCCTTACTCAAGAAAGCAAAAAAGAGACCATGTTTGTATGCGGCTTTATTAACTCATTTTTTAAATATTGTTTGCAAACTGATATGTGACACGTATTTATGCCAAAATAACATGCAAAACAGGCTCTTTTGTTTTTGCTAGAAAGGTGGAGCTCAAAATAGGCTCTGCCCCACCTGCCCTGAATGACGGGTCGCCACTGAATTCAGATATTCAAGTGGGTGAATAAGTGATTGAAACAATCAAGCCAACAAGTTTGAAATAAATAATTAGAGAGAGAGAGAGACTGAGGGGGACCATCTGGCCAGAAAGCCTTTTCTCCGTGTCCAGCAGATGTCCTGATATTGGATGGCATTTAGCTACATGGTATTAACTCACAAGTAGAGCAATGGGATGTCAACAACATGAGTGTCATGATTAATACTTTGATTATTGCTCTGGGAGTACATCATTACGGTAGTTGTAATATGAAACACTTTTAGTACTATTGTTCAAATATGACAAATTCAGATAAGGATTGATTGATTCCCAGTGGATTATCTAACCTTTATATCTGACCATAGCCTATGTTGCCATACTATCTACATGTATACGTTTGAATATTAACATATAATAACCATGTAATTATGTTAACTTACAGATGAACTTCAAAACATTTTCACAACCACTACCAAACTATTTTATATAGCCATACAAGATGACAGAAATCCCTATATTGCTGGCTCTTGAACACAAGAAAACACAAGCTTAACTAGCAATTGTCTCTTGATGACACTGTATCGGTTTCTCTGCCCCTAGTACTAGAGCCCTGGTCCAATCTATGATTTCCTCTACTCTCACTGCATGTAGTAATTTTAGTGCAATTAAAGCTGCGCTAAGAGATGTGCTGCCTGTTGCATTGTGGGAACTCAGATCAACTGTTGGACAGAACACTCTCATCTTCAATCAGGGACTCCATTGTGCTCGTCCATGCTTATTCAAGGTCATGTGCGACGGATGATGGTGTAGTTTGCTAAGCGTGACTACTGTCAGAGCTAGGACCTAACCCAAATGTAGACACAACTCATGTTGCAATCAGAGAGGGTGTGGTGGAGCGATTAATGAACTGAACTAAAGTGTAAATGACTTGAAGAGTGAATGAGAGGGGAAAGCAATTAACTTCTGATTGTGATTTGTGTTTTTCCTATAATTGTTGTTTATGTATTATTTGCCACTCTCTCTTTCTTGCGCTCTCACTCTTTCTCTCTCTCCCTCGCTCTCTCGTAGATGTAACATAGTAAACGAAAATCTGGGACACTCAAATTAGTATGATATGTTACGTTTGGTATGGTATGTATTAATTTGTGGATGTCCATCATCCATTTTGTATGATGTTACGAATTACAATTCGTATGTTATGTTACAAATTGCAATTCGTATGATATGTTATGAATTCCAATTTGTTGAGGCTAACATTAGCTAGGTGGCTAATGCTAACGTTAGCTAGGTGGCTAATGTTAGCTAGGCTAGGGGATAGGGTTAGGGGTTAAGATTAGGGTAAAGGTTAGGGTTAGGCGTTAACGGAAGGGTTAGCTAACATGCTAAGTTGCAAAGTAGCTAAAAAGTAGTTGCAAAGTTGCTAATTAGCTAAAATGCTAAAGTTGTCCATGATGAGATTCAAACACGCAACCTTTGGGTTGCTAGACGTTCGCGTTATACCTCTACCCATCCACTACGACCAACCACCCTTATTTTTCCTTAAGTAACCTTCTGTCTTATGTAACCATACCAAACGTAACATATCATACTAATTTGAGTGTCCCGGATTTTTGGTTACTACGTTACGTCTATGGGACCAGCCTGGAAAGCAACAGGCTTCTTCTCTGACAGTGAAGGACGAGGGCTTGCCTTCAAACCGAGGCCTTCATCCACAACTTCTATCATCCCCTCTTTGGCTTTCTCTTTTTAAGTCCAATTTGTGTTTGCCTCTTTCTGTCTTTTCTCTTGCTCTTGCCTCATCTATCCCTCTCACTCTGCATGCTTTCCCCACTCACCTCTGTTCACTCCCCCAGCCACACCCCTCTTGTCATCCTTTTTTGGTAGTATCCCTCCTTCCCTCACTTTTTGTTTTCCTCCTCTCCATTCACACTCATTCATAAACCTCTGCCATCATACGTTAACATGATAGCCCAATGACTCTATATTTTTGAATAACATGTATTATTCTACCTAATCTACCTATCACTCTATAATTCCTCTAATTCTACCTAGAGTTCTACCTAATGAAAGGGGTAAAAAATATAAAGCGTGAGAGAGCTAGTGGAGATTGGTGGGAGGTGATCTATCTTTTTCTGATTGGGTTTCTCTGTCACTCCAGCTGCACCTCAGAAGCTCTCGCAGCCAGAGTAATTAATCAATCCCAGACTGGGCTGATCGATCAGTGTCTCTGTGTTCCCCTGGCGTGTTTACAATCCTCCATCTCATTTGCTACTAAGCTCCTCGCCACCGCTCAATCTCATTGGCAGAGAGTGTGACACCCCGCCTCCCTGATGTCACCAGCAAGCGAAGCATTGATCGGTGCCTCTCTCTAAGAATCCATCCTCTCTTTTTAATTTGGTGGATTTGTTTTTGTCTAGTGTCTACCTGTAACATGCCTTTGCAGTTAGGGTGTGCAAGTTCCTGCTTTAAAGTCTGTGTAGCACCTCATTTTCAATGCCAGAATGCATAATCAGCTAAGACCCCAAAATGCATTCTCTAAATATATTACCAATACCAGTTATTTTGTCTTTGAGATGCTTCTATTTCAGGAGCCTGTCTAAATCAGTGATGAGACTTGATAGGTTCTAGAGGTGACGTAACCACCATTGATCAGCTAGCCTGGTAAGCTACAGGACACACTTTGGTATAGGACACGCTTTGAGGGGGTGGTGGTGTGGTCACGCTTGCTTTTCCTCCCTGCTGAGTTCAACTGTTATCTCTCTGCCATTCACTGTTGTATGGAGGAAAAAAGTTAACATTTACAAAGAGATTCTGCAGAATGAGCAGAATGTGTGAAAAGCATCCTTTGAAACATGCAGAGATCCAACAAACAGGACAGAGTATTAATTGATCAAATGACTCATTTACTCAATACCTTGACTTTGACACACAGACATTTGTGTCATTGGCATGAGATTCTTAATGGCCCCTTACTTGAAGAATATATTGTATACGATTGTATATTTTGCTATCCAAACATGTAGAATAGTAATTACGAAATTATTTAGACTCCAATGTTATCCACTTGATAATTTTTATAGGCATATAGAGTTGTATTGATTCAGGCAGCATTGAATACTATTTTGCCACTCTAGGCAGGTTATCCACCTGTCATTCATATTTCATGGAACTCTCTCACTAACTGACAAAGAGAAGTTTAGGTGAACTGACAGCGCACCTCATATCTCATTAGAATACTAAAAAGGTCTCGATCTTGGTCAATTGGCTTGATGTTTTATTCATTCATCCTTTGAAGGAGCCCTCCCCCACCACTGTCCCAGGCTGATTGTAAATGAACTGCAAATTGCAAAGTCTGAAGTCTCCAAACAACCTGTCAAAGCTCAGCGTTAAGCCTTGTTTTTATATCTTACACACTGAATATTTTAATAGTCTACAGCAAAGGAGCTCTTATGAACTGAACAACATTCTGGGTTGGATACCCTTAGACACACATAGCACGTTCACATGACATACTGTATATACATTCTTGCATATAGATGCACATGAACACACACACGTGAGCATGTGCACACACACCCACACACCCACATATAGAGGCTGAGTCAGTGAACACTTGTTGCAGGCTGGCCTCTTCCCCCCGTGCTGGCATGGGCCTTCTGTGACTCAGTGTGACTAAAAGATCATGAGTTTAAATTAGACTATAGTAGGCTACTATATCACTGTAATGTCACTGTGATGTACTGTAATGCAGACCTGGGATAACTATAGTATTAACTATGCTTTTTGGAAAGTAACTATTTTTCCGGTGGAACAAATAGTTACTTTGGAGATTACTATTTGAATACAGATCCCAAAAAAGTACTACTTTTTAAAACTATTTGAATACAGATCCCAAAAAAGTACTACTTTTTAAAACTATTTGAATATAGATCTCAGAAAGTGACTACTTTTCAAAACTATTTGAATACAGATCTCAGAAAGTGACTACTTTTCAATACTATTTGAATACAGATCTCAGAAAGCAACTACTTTTTTTTAAATATTTGAATACAGATCTCAGGAAGTGATTAGTTTTCTGAAACTATTTGATTGGCTGCTTTTAACTAATGGCAGGGCTGTATCTGGAACTGCATGTTGAAGATAGAAATATAATGAATAGAGAACACACAATCTCCTATACTATTCCAATCTCCCTGACAGTTATATTTGATCTACACAATAATTTTATATCTGAACATTATCTAAATGGCCATTCTCCTGAATGTCCATTGCCCCAGGTGTACATACTCAAGTCAAACCAATTAACCTATGATATTTTGTCCAGATAAGTATAAATAAGTTGTAACACTCAACTACTGTATGACTCTTTCAACATGCCACTGAAAAGGTTGAAAGCTTAAATTAATTGTATGATACCTGAAAATACTGCAGAGGGAGGAGGTATCTGAGGGTAAGTGTTCTTGTTTCAAACACACACTATGCCATCTTTAAAGGGATAGTTGACTGAGAATACAAACTAACATGATTTTCAACCTGCCTTAGCTGTAGTTGATTCAAGAATGCAGTTTTGGGATATTTTGTTTCCTTTCGACACTTAACAGCCATATTTTGTTACCATTAGCATTCTCAGTAACACTTAACATTAAATTGTTATTGTGCATGTGTAATCAAACTGTAATTACTTTTGGAACAAGATTTTATTAGCATGTTGTTACATAATACTTCGGTAATTGCATTTTAATTGCATAGAAATTAGCTGTGAGTTTTTGTAACTACTGTACACAAAAGGAATAGTGACTGTTCTTTATTCCACTTATGTAATAACTCCATTATTATGCAATCATAAAACAATTTCTAAAGTCCTATGTAACAACAATGTTGCTATTGCAATAATCACCAAGTTACTACACATGCATAAGAACTGGATGTCAAGTGTTACTGGATTACCTTGTCTCACTCATTATGAACATATATTTGTTTGTCATTTTGAAGCTGCAAAAGTGGTCTACTCTGATGTTGAGGTGATTCCATGTCCCTCATGTATTTAATTCTAGGATAAAGGCTATGTTAAGATTAATATCTAAGAGCCCTCCAAACCATGTGCTTATAATAATATACAGTATTTAGACTAATTCAACTAACTGTTGAAGTTTTTGATTCTTCATTAAATATTTGGCAGCCATCAAGTAAATCTTTTTTTTTTTCTTCAAATAACTTGCATTTATTCAAATATGATTTGGTTTTCTGAGAGGTGTTCAAAATACTTTCAAATATATATATATTTTTTTTATGAGACCTCTATTTGAATATCAAATAAAAAAGTTGCCTATATTCGACTACCTTGAGTATTTGAAAAGTTACAAAATCAATATCACCCTAACTGCATTGTTGTTGCAATGCCGTTCTTCTCCAAATCTGTCTTTCCTCTGCCTCTCCGCAGCCACAAGACCCATGGTAACCCATGGCAACATCCTATCATCGTCCCTCCCCGACTGCACCAATTAGATCTTCATCAGTCAAACAACACTCCAACCCACCTTTTGTGGTTCTAAAGTTGCCTCACATCCATGCCATGGGATCTTTAATTACCACGGTGAGATAGGACATCGGTTTAACGTCTCATCCCAATACTGAATCTGACATCTGAACAACCTCAATAAATGAAATGTCTCTCAGTTGGTTGCGTTATCATTCAGAGGTATCCCTTCATTTCACCTTTCAATGTGTATGGGGACACATCCCCTACGCCCACCCCCAACCCAATGCCCTCCGTCTCTTTGACTTTATTGATTTCCTCCAGAATGATTAATTGGACACAGGGGGAGCTGAGGTGTGACCAGATACTAAGCGTACAGCCTATGTCCTCTGTGGCCATACAGAAAGGCCATTCTACAAACAACATGCCTCTGTTAGTGGACATTCAAATATGAGATTGCAAAAATCTCTCTCTCTCTCTTCTCTCTCTCTCTCTCTCTCTCTCTCTCTCTCTCTCTCTCTCTCTCTCTCTCTCTCTCTCTCTCCTCTCTCTCTCTCTCTCTTCTCTCTCTCTCTCTCTCTCTCTCTCTCGTCTCTCTCTCTCTCTCTCTCTCTCTCTCTCTTCTCTCCTCTCCTACTCCTCCTCTCTCTCTCATCTCTCCTGCTTAGAGGAGGATCACATATATAGATGGAGTATCTCTCCTTCTATTCCCTCAATCCATTCGCTCTCTATCTCTCATCTCTCTCTCTCTCCCCGTTGATGGAGGAGATTACATAATAGATGAATTGGAGTACCTTTCCCTCAACATCCATCTGATATCAGAGCTAGCCTCCTCCCCTCCCCTCTCCAAACACTCACGCACAGGTAATCGCTGTGACCATCTCGAGGACATCGTAGCATGGTGGTAGGTAAACTTGTATGTATGCTTTATCCCAATTGGCGCAAAGCGTAGGCAGCAAGTGGATGCTAAATCTATAAACTATTGCGAGTGTTATTTTAATACAATGTGATGTTATTGAGCCATACCAGCGCGGAGAGGAGAAAAAAGAATGGACTTTGTGGCGCGTAAAAGTTGAATTCATCAATACCACTTCAAGACCAGGACACGGGACAACATTTCAATAGCCCGCCTTGTATAGATTACGCACACAAATTTATTCGTTGTTTCTTATTTTCTGATCGTTAAAGTGCACCGGCAACAAGAATCCCTCTCATCCGGCAAGATTTCGTCCAGAAGCAGACTGGAAGACCGTCCACTTCGGAGGTTGGCCGGAAGGACGCGGATGATCGTAACAGGTGTTTGTGGAGTAGTCATGGTGCTAGTGTTGGTTATCCTGATTCCGGTGCTGGTCAACTCAGCCGGGACATCCGCGCGCTACGAAATGCTCGGATCCTGTCAGATGGTGTGTGATCCCCACGGGACCAAGTCCACGGCCACGGACAAAGCCAATACTATCAGAGACAGCCGCTTGGTCCAGTCTCTACCAACCTTAATCCAAGGTCCTAAAGGGGAGCCCGGACGCACGGGAAGAATTGGCCCTAGGGGTCCTCTTGGAGAGCCAGGACCACCCGGACCTGTCGGCCCGCCTGGGGAGAGAGGAGAGCCTGGTCCGCCAGGACTACCCGGAACGCCCGGAGATAACGGAGCCACAGGTGCCATAAGCGCAGCCACATACAACACCGTTCCAAAGATAGCTTTCTATGCCGGGCTGAAAAAACAGCATGAGGGCTACGAAGTGCTGAAATTTGACGACGTAGTCACCAACCTTGGCAACCACTACGACCCCACGACCGGGAAATTCACCTGCTCGATACCGGGCATCTACTTCTTCGTTTACCATGTGCTGATGCGAGGCGGGGATGGCACCAGTATGTGGGCTGATCTTTGTAAAAACAACCAGGTGAGCCATATACTGACTTGTGCAATCAAATGAAACTGAAACATAGCACTTCTTTCTCATCTATAATTTGTAATTTTTTATTAAGATTCAAAACATTAGAAAACAGTTTAGGCTACAATTTTAGCACACGTAAACTGCGTTTTACCCACGTACTCCACTTTCATTAAAGCGGCGCTGTCAGTGGTGCTGAAGTTCCAGCCCTGCGCCCCTTTCATTACTGAAACTCCAATTCACTAACATGACTAAATAATACCACATTGATAAAAACATAAATAAAAACGTGGTATCAGAAAGATTGGTGACTAATAATATTGTTCTCCAGGTGCGCGCGAGCGCTATCGCCCAAGACGCCGACCAGAACTACGATTATGCCAGCAACAGTGTTGTCCTGCATCTCGAGCCCGGCGATGAGATCTACATCAAGCTGGACGGGGGCAAGGCGCACGGGGGCAACAACAACAAGTACAGCACCTTCTCCGGCTTCATTGTCTATGCCGATTAACAGAACACCATATATTCTACACTAGGCTGTTCACTGCGTCTTCATCTGCTATTATTCTCTCCTTTGGATTGGTTACACCGCTGTCGTTAAGAAGTGGTTACAGAGAGACTGGGGGATCTTGACGCAGAAGTGAACATTAACATGCGTAAATATATATTTCCTTTCGTGCGTAAAACCCCAAATTATGCAATGTCCAAAGATGAACTTGGAAACATGGAAGGAGATGAGTGAAAGTTGCATGTGTATAAACCCATATTATGTACAACAGGTTAAACAGGAATGGTATTAATGCTTCATTGCTGTTCATTGCTTTTGCCATTGGGTCAATTAATGAATGTTTCAATTGGTCTTGTAATGCATCTCAGTTCATGTTAGAGTCCATGGAATAGGAAAAAATAGGCAACTCATAGAGGTGATTAAAAGTGTACTGTAGGAAGTCATGATTGGTGTGTTTCTGTCTGCATCTTCTTACTTTACCGTGGGTTACTGCAGTGTTTTTCTAACCATTACTACTGTTTTATCAGACTACTGCATGAGTGTAAAAGAGCTATCATGATCATAATGTCTATAAATGTCTTATAAAGCCCCGTGTAGCTCAGTTGGTAGAGCGTGGCGCTTGCAACGCCAGGGTTGTGGGTTCGATTCCCACGGGGGTATGAAAAAAACAAAAATGAAGGAAAAAAAAGTATGCACTAACTGTAAGTCGCTCTGGATAAGAGCATCTGCTAAATGACTAAAATGTAAATGTAAAGTCAAATTCTAGATTTTCCTGGAAAAATTAATTAAGTGCTCAGTGCTTGACTAAGACTGATTAGGCCTACAGCCGGTATTTGATATGGAAAATCTATATTATCTGGAAGAAAAACATGCCATCAGAGAAAATGATTTCTGCACAGTATTCCTGTTCTTCAAAAAATAAATAATCAACAGGTCAATTCTAATTTAAACAGAGCTTTGAAAATGGTAAAAATGTTTTCCTTGGTCACATTTTTCATCTGAATGGTAGGCTGCCACTATGTTCCATTTGGTGATGTATCAGAACACAAGAGACTTTCCTACTGTACCTGCACTTCCTAACTTTTTCATCCTATCACACACTGTCCTGAAGTGACATAATAGTTATGTATTGTCTGCTGTGATGTCATTGCTCATGTGGTGAAGTCACTGTGATGCCACCTGTTCCCAGGAGAGACCATGTCCTTCAGGACGACCCACCAGCCAACCAGCTCCCTCCCATAGCCACCCCACCGTGTGACCTCACAACAACTCTTCTAACAAGCTTTGAGTGCACAGTATACTGATTAAGAAAACCTTGAAAGAGTTAGCTCTTTCAGTGCTCTTTTGGTACCCTAATATCTATTAGCAATTAAAAAATATCAAATAGGAAATATATTTTTTTGTAATGCTACTACTTTTCACAAAGACTGTTTGTGAAATGTCATTACTACTGACAAAGCTGCTACTGCTTTCAATACAACTAATCAGCACCATATTTACAAGTAAAGCACCATGTGCAGACCATGTCGTTGAGTTTGATTGGGCAAAAATTGTTGCTTTACCTTGTTGAATTACATTGGGCTTTTGTGTTGGCGCCGCATTTACATTTAGTATTTTCAAACTGAGAATTTTTGAAGGAAATGTGGCCTTTTGTGCGACCAAGGCTATAGCTATTGAGGAGCACTCTGCCTAGCAGGATGGTTTTGTTAATTTGCTTATGGTATTAATGATTAATTACAAACATTAATTGAAGCTTTGATTCACTCATGGCTCTTATGTGAAATAAATTGAATAACTTCCTCACTCAGCTGTCAGAATATTGTTAGTGTTCAACAATTCAAGTTTTTTCCCTTATTTACTTCTCCATAATACATTTCAATTCAGTACATCACAGCGAAGTAGCAAGAATAAAAAGTGTCAACCTCTGACATCAATTATGTTTGGTGATTTGCAAGTAATATAAAATGTATAAAACATTTTTTTTTTACTGTGTTCAATAGCTGATGCAAAGCTAAAGGCCAAGGAGCAGCCTTCCTCTGTTCTGGGTAATCTGATTCGGATCCTTCATTTGAATGTGAGCCAGCGTTTAGAGTTGTCTATGACGATCTTGTCCACCTGGGTCTGGTTGATCCCTCTGCCCAGCATCTTGGCCACAATGTTCTTCAGGATGTGTAAGTAGCCCTGGCCTCCGTACTTGGTGAGACGGTTCTTGGTGTGGATGTCATGGGCGATGACAATGTTGTCCTCATAACCCTCCTGGACCAGGAACGCCAAGCTGGAGAGAGGGAGGTACACACTCGCACCCACGCACATACACACACATCAAAACAGATCTATGGGTGTTATTTTGCTGTTTACATTTTGTAAAGTATCGTGAATTATATAGAGACAACCACATGGACTTTGTTTAGCTGTGGTTGTCTAGTACATATGTAGGATCTTCATTTGATCACCCTTTTGTTGCAGCAAATGCAAACTTGCAGTGTATTTGAGGTTTTAAAAGGCTTCTAAAGTTTGTAATTTCAACTTTAAATGTTCAGACTTGATTTTCCAATGCCTACAAATATGTCAATTAATTATAATTCACATTTCCTGTTGTTGCAGGATTATGTTCATGCTGTGGGAATCAGGGTCAAATTAAGATCCTAAATCTGTAGGTAGTTTGGTAGCAACATAAAGAGTACTCACACTTTGACTCTGGCTGTCACTGGGCATGTCCATCTCCAGGTTATAGGCATAGTTCAGCATCTCTGTTCCATACAGGTCGTACTCCAGGTTATTCCCCATTTTAGCAAACTCCAGCAGCTCTCCATTGTCAAATATGGTCCTGTGTTAGAAAAAACCCAATATAAATAATTTACAGTCACTCATCACTGAAGCTACTGTACCTTTGAGTCATCAGCAGATTCAAATGCTCCACAATAAGCATTATTACCTTGCTGAACATAACAGCTATATAGAAGCTTGCTTTATAAGTATAATTGTTTATACTATATTATAAACCCATGTAGGGCCCAGAGTTTTTCCAGACTATGTGACTGACCAGGAAAAACTCTTAGCCGTAGTCCTGTCACCACTCCATATCCAGTCCAGTCTGGGTCCTGAGAACCCTCACCTGTCCAGGTGTGACATGACGGTCTTGCTGATGTCACCTCCAGCCTCCTGCAGGAGGTAGACTATTTCAGCGGGGCTCCAGGGTTCCATCCCAGGTGGATGATGACTGGGCAGCCCAGCTTGGTCTGAGCGTGTGCAGTGGCCTGCAGCAACTTCTTCTCACTGTCCATGACTGGCCAGCTGCAGCCGACCTCGGTCCCGTCCGCCCCCTGGAGCACCTCGCTAACGCTGTTGTCTGTGTCATGCCTCGTTCACATTAACCATAGGCACTCAGTTACATTGCGCCAGATGTCATTCATTTCAATGGGGTTGTCCACAACGCAGTGGAATCGTAACGCCCCCTTGAACAAAGTTTGAATTTTTCAAAACTTTGCATTGTCTTCAGTCCAGCTAGAATCCGTTGATAAAATATGTGGTTTTCGGTTTTGGCTTTATGGGATAGCTAGCAGCTTGTAAACAATGACCCATTCCTATAAGTGAGTACTATTTTAATAGTAATGTTAAGTAATACACATTGGCTGGTAAGCCAATTATATGACTGCCTCCCGTTTATGTTTATTGTAATGGTAATGTTGTTTCTTTTTGATGGAGAGAGGACCAGACTTGAATGCAACATTTTAACTACTGTATTTGCCTTGAATGCAGCTCCCTACTAACTTAACAAGCACCTGCTGCTACTAACTGCCAATCAGTTTCCATGCCTTTTGCAACACTTTAACTAGTTGCCGTGAACACAGCTCCTCAACAGCATTAGTTGCAACTCATTGCTAATCAGCCTCGACACCTGTCCTCACTCTCCTTAATCACCACTGCCACCATACTTAAATCTGAACAAACTAATATTCCTCCTCTGTCTTCTGCAGTGCATGTTGCGTTGCACGACACTGTGCATTACTAACCTTATCAAGTTTTGCATCCCCCCTTCTATCTAGTATCTCTTAGGTTCTTCCAAGGATCTCCTGGAAGCAGCCTAACTCCCACAGGCCTGACGATGATGTCTACCTGAGACTCCAAGCCAAACTCTAGAGTCCACCCCCCGGATCCTTCATCTGCAGCCTTCAGCTTCATCCGGCCCATTCCCAATTCCCCTCCTGAATCCATTACATTCCCGCAATAAATATTCTAAAGCGATCTCAATGTCTGGTCCTTAAATTCGTGAAATGATAATTATTAGATGGAGGTCGCTAGGTACAGTGGTATCTTGAACCTAGCCTAGCTTTTAGCTAGCTGCTCTGCAAGCTAGCTTCACGTGCTATGAAGTTAGAGAAACAAGACAATGGACACAAACTGGCCATAACTCCTTCAGGTGGGAGACAGCTGACCAAAGCCACTTGGAAGATTCTTACTGAGACAGTGGCTCCTACAAATAGGCCAGTACACATCAGACACAAACTACACGACACCACCAGGTAGCTTAGTGGTTAAGAGCGTAGTGCCATTAACCGAAAGGTCGCTGGTTCTAGTCCCCGAGCCGACTAGGTGAAAAATCTGTCGATGTGCCCTTGAGCAAGGCACTTAACCCTAATTGCTCCTGTAAGTCGCTCTGGATAAGAGCGTCTGCTAAAAGACTAAAATGTAAAAAATGTAATAAACCTTCCCGACCTTCTCCACTGTCATCTTCCTGATGTCCTCAGAGTGGGTGGCATCCACATAGTCCCCCGCCCTCCTATGACATGTAGACCTGTATCCTTGGACAGCTGTTTGAGGCTGGGCAATACCCTGGGTAGTGCTTTCTCTGATGGTTCCCCCTCCTGCCTTTTGGTACTCACGCAACGCTTCCCGCACAGCTCTGGTCTCCTGCAGCAGAAGCAGGTTCTCATGGCTAAAGAGGAAGATGATGAAGACAAATACTTTATTGTCCATTGCCACAGAGATTTAACAGGTTCTAGACTGCCTTCTGTATGGGTTCTAGACTACCTGTGTAAGGGTTCTAGAAAACTGCCTACTGTATGGGTTCTGGACTACCTGCTCTATGGGTTCTAGACTACCTGCTGTATTAGTTCTAGATTACCTGCTGTACGGGTTCTAGAAAACTGCCTACTGTATGGGTTCTGGACTACCTGGTCTATGGGTTCTAGACAACCTGCTGTATTAGTTCTAGATTACCTGCTGTACGGGTTCTAGAAAACTGCCTACTGTATGGGTTCTGGACTACCTGCTCTATGGGTTCTACACTACCTGCAGTATGGGTTCTAGACTACCTGCTGTACGGGTTCTAGAACACTTCCTGCTATATGGGTTATAGACTACCTACTGTAACGGTTCTAGACTACCTGCTGTATGGGTTCTAGACTACCTGCCGTAAGTGTTTTAGACTACCTGATGTAGACTACCTGCTGTAAGGGTTCTAGACTACCTGCAGTACAGGTTCTAGACTACCTGCGGTAAAGGTTATAGACTACCTGCTGTATGGGTTCTAGACTACCTGCTGTACAGTTTCTAGACTACCTGTGGTAAAGGTTCTAGACTACCTGCTGTAAAGGTTATATCTGCTGTACAGGTTCTAGACTACCTGCTATAAAGGTTATAGACTACCTGCTGTAAAGGTTCTAGACTACCTGCTGTAAAGGTTCTGGACAACCTGTTATAAAGGTTCTAGACTACCGGCTGTAATGTTTCTAGACTACATGCTGTATGGGTTCTAGACTGTCTGCTGAACGGGCTCTAGACTACTTGCTATTAATGTTCTAGATTACCTGCTGTAAGGGTTCTGCTCCAGCCAGAACATGTTCTTCATCTGGATGGGGGCCAACTGGGCCACGGCCTCGTCTCCCTGGCCAGAGGGAAGTAGCAGCACTCAAAGGTCATGGTCAGGTGCTCGTGGGTCATGGTTCAACCAAGCTGGTCGGGTTCTATCGGACCCAACACTGTCTGGACCTTACAACTCAGTGCTGACATGTTGGAATGGATGAGTCTCTGGGGTTAAGATCCTGCAGAATAGAAGATGTTATTATTACTACATTACACATAACATATTATTATTGAGCTATTCCAGTACTGGAAAAACAAATCCATTTGGTTGATGTATAGTTCCATGGATTGCTGAATTGATTGAGACCAGCAGCAAAATACAGAGATAGCAAGCAACTGTGCATGCATTTAGGACACACCTCTTTCACATGAATATGTATGACTACTCCTAGCTCTCGAGAACCCAATGGGTTCCCTGCCCTTGAGTTCTCAATTGAACATATGGACTACAGCTGGATCAATTAACTACAATTCCGACACTCTGTTTCAACATTTAGAAATGTTAATTATCCTCGCTTGCAATACGGTTTTGAAAACCTTTGGAATACAAAAGATACACTTACTATATGCAGCTTAGCAAAGTTGCATCCTGGTTGCACCCGGCAGAATTGTCAAAAACATCCCCCAGCCGAGGTATGAAACTTCCTCCCCAGTTACGTTCTATTGGAGACGTTTGAACGGTAACACTTTACTTGACTGACACACAGCATCATAACATATTATGACACAGTCGTAACCATGTCATAATATGTCATAACACTGTCATGACACGTATTTAGACCTGTTGTGATATATATTCCGTTATTTTATGGCTGGTTATGACACCTACATAAGTGTAAAAACCCACTGAACCTACCACGGTAGTTATTTTATGGCTGGTTATGACATCTACATAAGAGTGCCAAAACGCACAAAACCTACCACAGAAGGCAAAACATTCCATTACACCATAGCATACGTGTCAACAGTACGTTTATGTTATATTCTTTAGTTTTTTTATTGACCATATTAAATTATCATTGTAATTGCACACATGTCAGACATGTACCGACCCCAATGCTCTGTTGCTTATGCCTGGAATGAACGTAGGAGCAGATTTCAGGAGCAGGACAAGACACCCTCTTTTTGACTGATGACTGATATAAGGGCCTATCTAGCTTATATAATTATGATGGTCATAATGTTTCTTGACAGTGTCATAAAGTGTATTTTCTTAGTCCAAGTAAAGTGACACAGGATGGTCATAATGCTTCATGACAGTGTCATAAAGCGTATTTTCATCAAGTTATTTAAAACATGATGAAAAAAACATGACTGTAAAGAATTCATTACAACAATAACAAAGGATTTAAGAAAAAACTTTCAAACGAAAGAAAACTTATTGGCAGGGAAAAACTAATTTGAATAAATGTGGGTTTTGACTATCTTATGTAGGTGTCATAACCATCCATAAAATAACGCAATAGGTCACAACAGGTGTACACATATGGTGACAGGTTATGACAAGTTATGTCAGCTGTTATGACATATTATGACATGGTTATGACCATGTGATAACGTGTTATGACACTGGGTGTCAAGTAAAGTGTTACCGTTTGAACTTGAGGGGAGGGGAGGAAGTGTAGTCTCGGTTGGATGCGGTGTTCTTGAAAATACAGCCAGGTGCAACTTTCCTAAACTGCATACATTAAGGGTATCTTCAGTATTTGAACAATTATTTCTCGCTTATACTGAGTGTACAAAACCTTAGGAACACCTTCCTAATATTGAGTTACACCCCCTTTTGCCCTCAGAACAGCCTCAATTTGGACGTCTAATCTAATCAAATGTTATTTGTCACATGCTTCGTAAACAACAGGTGTAGACTAAAAGTGAAATGCTTACTTATGGGCCCTTCCCAACAATGCAGAGAACAATTGACAAATAATTGAAAAATAATAACACAAGGAATAAATACACAATGAGTAACGATAACTTGGCTATATACACGAGGTACCAGTACTGAGTCAATGAGAGAGGTGCTGGGGGGCTGCCTTAATCGACATCCACGTCATAATTTCATGTAGATATGTACATATACAGTAGGTAGGGGTAAAGTGACTAGGCAACTGGATTGATAATAAACAGTAGCAGCAGCATATGTGATGAGTCAAAGGGGTCAATGTAGATAGTCCGGGTAGCTATTTGGTTCTGTTGGTTCCAGACTTGGTGCATTGGTACCGCTAGCCATGCAGTAGCAGAGAGAACAGCCTATGACTTGAGTGGCTGGAGTCTTTTTTGGGCCTTCCTCTAGCACCACCCGGTATAGAGGTCCTGGATGGCAGGGAGCTCTGCCCCAGGGATGTACTCGCTAGTATTCCTCGATCAGACAGACATCGTCGTTGCATCAATGCTGCGTAATAAATTCTGCAGTCAAACTTTTTTCTTTATGTAATCCCAATATTTTTGTGGATATGTGTGCAACAAAAGTTCAACATTCACCTTTTGCTACTATTTCTGTCAAATCTATGCATAGAATTTGATGCATACGTTGGATAAATCCAACATATGCACCACACAGAATGCACTGACACTGCCTCTGTAATGCAATGCTGCAAGGCAAACGTAGCATTCCATTGGAAATGAATGTACTTCTGGTGTACCAAAACACAATGACGCTGTCGGTCTGATCAGGGCGTAGACAGGTGCACACTGAAGAGACCTTTGGACCGACCAATGGTTGTATATAAGAGATCAGAGGATGCTGGTGGGAGGAGCTATAGGAGGATGGGCTCATTGTAAAGACTGGAATGGAATAAATGGAACGGAGTCAAACAGATTATAATGAGCCCGTCCTCCTATAGCTCCTCCCACCAGCCTCCTCTGCAAGAGATCAAGCTCCTATTTTGACTCACATGACCTGCTATAGCCTACTGCAGTCTCTGATGTGAGTAAATATCATTGATTGTTTTCAGTTTTGCAAGTGTTATGATATCCCACATCAGTAACATGGCAAAGGAAAAATAATGCTTAGGTTTAAATTTTGCAGCACAATCATATGGTGCTGATCTCAAATAATTTTACTGGCAATCCTTTGGCTGTGATTGAGTTTAGCAAATTTAGCGGGCTGAAACAAGCAACTGTGGTGTCTGCAAATGCAACAGCTATTCAGTTCATTGGTGAAGAATGTGCATCGATTGTTCACGAGATCATGACACTACGATGTATCCAAAATGATACAAGACCTGGAAGTCTTTCTTCGATTCAGCAGTACACGAAACAAGCCCTCTTCTCTGAGGTTTTATGGCATACCACAACAATTGCTGTATTGCTGCCACCAACTGGAAGGGACGGGGGAAAAAGAAAATAATAAAAGTACATTCCATCACGGACAATAAATTATCATAGAAAAAAAAAAAGGTCCTCCCTCATCTTAAACGGCAGCGACCGCCACTGTAGTTCACATATCCCAGCTACACTCGGATAGGGAGAAACTTATAAAAAAACACAAGAACAAACCAACTCTTATCTTTCCTCCCATTTACCACGCGATTCATTCTATGTGCATCGACCACTCCATGAATCTTCTTCAGTAGAGCAATGTCGAATGATTTCGCTACTCCAGATATTACTCCTTTGACAGGTGCCCTGCTTCGTAGATCAAAGCATGACACATCATATCCATCAGTTCGAGTGAGATCTAACACTTTTCTTCTGATCAACAGATACACAACCCAGCAAATCGGAACATTCCCAGAACATAAGCTAAGATTCCCATTAATTTCTAGTTAGGGTTTTATCTAACATTAGGATAACATCCAAACATTCAAATAATGTTTTTGATAACAAAATCTTCTTCTTTTTTTCAACAAATGTTTTAAATGAAATATCTTTTGAATGTTCTCCTACCATTCACTAAAATGCTGTGCACAACATCTGCAACAACAACCACAGAACATTCCCCAAAAGTTCTCATTATGTTTACAGGTAATGTAATAATGTACCAGTAAAGTTTTCCTAGCAAACCAAAAGATCCCAGAACATTCGTTAGGTTGTGGCAAATGTTCGTTAAAACACAAAAATTGTCCAGTCTTGCAAGAACGTTCCTAGAACACATTGAATATGTTCTTTAAAGGTTCCCAGAATGTTTCATTAGGTTGTGGGAACAGTCTGGTGAGAACATTGTGGAGACATCACAAAAGATATGTTCCCAAAACACAGTTGTGCAGATTATTCTACAATGTTTCTTTTAGGGTGCAAAAAACATTCACCTGATGTTACAAGAACGTTCCCAGAATTTTTTTCCCCCTGTTCTCTAAAGTTCCCAGAATGCTTCTTAAGGTTGTGAGAACATTGTGGGCATATGACAAGCAATAGGTTCCCAAAACACTAAAACTGTCCAGTTGTGCTGACATTCAGATAATGTTGACAGAACAGCCTTGGAGGTACTCAGAACATTTTCTATTTAAGTTTGACCTAATACTACCACCCCATTCTTAGTATGCAAATGTAGGCTCCTTAAAGCAGATTTGAATACATACCCATTATGTTTCTCTCCAGATATAATGGCAACACACATTTGAGGACTGTATTGTAAGCCCACCACATGGGGATGTAGGCACACAGCATTTTAATTTCATTCATAGGACATTTGAACAGCATTTAATCATACAAACACAACCATATGTTTTACACTTTAACTGTTGACAATCTGCAATGTTTGGTTTCCAAGCCAGGTATTTTATCGTCTGCGCCATCAGGGAAGCGCTCTTACATTTAATTTTTTCAGTGTACAGCTATGGCAGTATGATCAATCGGGAAGTCCATGCTTCCTTTTCAGCCTTCTTAGACATAACTAACCCAGGGATATACTGGTAACTGGGTTATTCGCAATCACTTCACCCATCCTCTTTATATGCTGCATACTTCTGGGCCCATATTTACAAGGTATCCAAGACTATGAGTGCTAATCTAGGATCACTTTTGCTTTTCAGATCGTGAAAAATAAGACAGGGGGGACCATGTCAAGCATCTCAAAGTAGGAATTATATTGGGTGCGTTTAAAAAAAAGTTGAACAGTCAATTAAATGTGTTCTAGGAACGCTCTTCTAACATCAGGCACATTTTTTATACAAACATTCTATAATCATCAACACAGTTGGACAGTT